GTACCTTGAAAGGCACTGTATTACACTCCATTCCTCACTTAACTCAAGTGAAAATTATTATTGTCTATTGTCCTCTGCATTGTTGAAAGAAGTTGAAAAAAACTTGAGAGTACTGTCACCATGTTTTGTATTAAATGTTGGAATGCAACAAAATATTGTGGCCTTGTTTTCGTTGTGCTTCTTGCACAATTGTGGTGCTTCTTGCTTTTGTTCTAACACATCTAAGGATTGGTCGAAAGCTCTAGTTGAGAACAAATGTTTTAGCTTTAGACATACATGTACATGTAGTTATTCACATAATCACTATGAGGGAGTAAAATTTCTGTTAAGATTTGCCAGTAAGGTTAAATGCAGATGTATGACAATCCTCCACCAGAGCTGCCCTGGAGACCATAGATCGCCTGACTGATAACCTTGATCTGACTGACTTTGCCTCCCGGATCATCCACCCCCTGGTGCGCATCCTGGACGTGGTGCCGGAGCTGCGCCCGGTCGCCATGGATACGCTGTCGTCCCTGGTGATGCAGCTGGGCAAGAAGTACCAGATCTTCATTCCCATGGTGCACAAGGTGCTGATGCGCCACCGCATCTCCCACCAGAAGTACGACATCCTCAGCTGCAGGATCATCAAGGTCAGTGTCATCCCAAGGTCATGTTCACACATGTGTTCTGAACCCAAGGTCAGTGGTACTTCTGAACCCCAAATAACCAAGGTTACAGTAACTTGTCTTCCCGAAGCATTGTAGCTAGCACCACCTTACAGCATCAGTGTCATCCCAAGGTCATGTTCACACATGTGTTCTAAACCCAAGGTCAGTGGTACTTCTGAACCCCAAATAACCAAGGTTACAGTAACTTGTCTTCCCGAAGCATTGTGGCTAGCACCACCTTACAGCATCAGTGTCATCCCAAGGTCATGTTCACACATGTGTTCTAAACCCAAGGTCAATGCTACTTGTGAACCCCAAATTGCTGAGGTTACACTCATTATGTCTTCTTGAATCACTAAGGTTAGCACCACCTTACTAGCCTGAAACCCAGCCCTGTTAGCTATATCTCCAGTAGGAGCAAATTTTTGGAAGCGGACCTACATGTATAGATAACAAGGCTGGATTTCAGGCTACCACCTTACAGCACCAAGGCCAAATTCGTTTGTGTACCTCTTATTACCAAGGGCAAAATCAAGCACCTGCTGGGTAAGGGTCAGAGTCCTGTGTTTATGCCAGAACCTGTTAACTTGAAAGGCTATTGTGCTCCAGGGTTGGGCTTGATGGCATTTGGGGACTAAAGGTCATGTTTACCTTGCTGAGTTTGTTTTTTTTAAGTTAATACTGACTCCAGTGGTCATTAAAGAAGCACCCAAGAAAAGAGATATTGTTTGACAGCACTATGTACATTATAGTCCATTGTTTTGCTCCAAAAGCACCTTGATCAAAACAAAGAGTCGGACATAAATCTCAAAGCCTGTAATTAGATTGTGATATGTAATAGGTGCTAAGGTGTCCTGTATTTTACCTGAGAAGAGCCTCAAAGTTCAAGGTTTTCTCAAGGCCTTTGATGCCAGTTTGGCCACACATGTTGTACTTGAAGTTCTTGGCTGTAGTTCAGCAAATTTCAGAGTCAGTAGCTTTGGTCTGTCTAACAACTGTTAGTAGGATGGGGACATTTGACTGGGTGCCAATTTAGTATTTACTGTATTTGTATAACCTTAAGCTTACTAAAGGTGGTATCTGTCAGCGAGTCAAGGTGTGTGACAAAAAGCTTCAACAGTGTCTTAGATGATATAGAAAGAGGATGTACATGTAGTCTCAGCATCAGCCTACTTGCCATGACAACCCCCCATAGCTTACCTTGGCAGGGACACTATGTTCTAAACAGTTAATGTTGAGTCACCCATGAACTTACAGTCACTTGGCAAGGAATCGGAAACAAAAAATTAAGTCAATATGGTGACAGATGAGTCCCTTACGCTCATAGTCATTGTCTGAGCCTGTATAACCAACTGCTTGGCTCTCTCCCAGGTCTTCAAAGTGTTTTGGGTTGAATGGAGTGTATTTCTTCTGTTTTGTAAGATCATGTATAACATGTAGAGATACTTACCAAGTCCATGTTGCATGACATTGCCTTGCTGGAGACACCACAAATCTTGTTGTCTGGACAATTCTGCTAGGCTTTTTTGGTATCTAGGCTTTTAGGGTGATTGGAGTTAAATTTGCATTGGTATGTGCCAAGAAATTTGATCAACCGATTGAAAACATCAAAGAAATTTGATCAATCAAATTCAACATCTTACTTTCTACAGATATCTTTTTTCCTGTTACTGTAAATGACATTCTAAGTTGGTAACATGTATTAATGATTGACGTTGACAGTGGCTAGTAGAAACTGGACCTGGGGATGACTGAAAATGAAGAACAGTGCTTTGAAGTGGTTGCAGGCTTCACTACTATTTCTTTTCTTTTTCTTTGTCTAAGACTTCATGCCTTTCAGACATCTATTCTGAAATGCAGCTGTGAAACTGTACCCTTAAGCTCGCAATCATTGTCTGACCTTGTCTAATCAACATCTTGGCCCTCTCCCAGGTCTGCAAAGTTGTACATTTGTAGCTGTGTTTTTCTTCTGTTTTGTACTACAATGTTAGAGATACTAAGTCTAAGTTGCATTTATCTCTGCTGACTACTTAAAGCCATATTTAATTCATTCATTCATAGATTAGGGAACGTATTTATTCACCTCAATTCTTTCCCCTATCATTTAAAATTTTTCCTAATCTTACCTTAGAGATACATTTTTTTCTGAAATGCAGCTGTGAAACTGTGGTCTAATTTTCCCAGGGGTCGACCATAGCTGAGGAGGAGGATGACCCCCTCCTGTACCGCCCCAGGCAGAACAAGGGGAATCTGGCCGAGGACTCGGGGAGCAGCACCATCGAGGCCACGACTGTCAAGAAACTCCACGTCAGCACATCCAACTTACAGAAGGTGAGCTCATGATCAGTGCCAAACTTTAACTTCTCCCTACCGAGTTGAACAGCCTTGTGGCTCTAACTGTCTGCTTTGTTTACAGGGGCAGGTAGCATTTAGAAGGTTAAAATACGCAAACATTGTCCACCAAAATACACGTAGGATATGTGCTGTTTGTGCATGTAATTTGTATACTGTAGTGGTTTCTGTCAAGTTAAAGTCTGTTATAGATCATATACATGTACATGTATTACACAAATGTGTCATGATTATCTAATAGATGTTTTATGTATATTTTGAATGACTTCTATGTGTAGCAGTAAAAGGAGCTACTTGCTGTGCACATTAGAGATTAAGAGTGATGTTGTGAAGTTGACATGTGTTGCCTGTTTTTGTCCAGGCCTGGGGTGCATCTCGCCGTGTGTCTAAGGATGACTGGATGGAGTGGTTACGGCGGCTGAGTGTGGAGCTGCTGAAGGAGTCCCCATCTCCTGCCCTGCGCTCCTGCTGGGCCCTCGCTCAGGCTTACAATCCACTGGCCAGGTGGGCTGGGCACCATTCTGTACCATCAGTTTCACGTGTTTACACAAGATGGCTGAATCTAGCATTTAGCTTTCAAAGTTTGCTAGTTTTGTATGAAAACACAGAGAAAATAGTATCTGTCAGTGATTGATTGGAAAAAGTAAAATTTTTGACAGATGTACATGTTTGTTTAAGCCCCAGCTTAGCAGCTGAGCTGTCAGTCATTATATGACTGGACACCGTCCAACAACACTGAGGGAGTCATTATTGGATTCAATGCAGGGATATAGTTTTTATCCAAAGTATTTCTTTTAAAAGTTCCTAGAGAGACCCATACTGTTAATACATTTTTCCTATTGCATTTCCCTTGCTACTCTCTGTCTGCCTACAGGGACCTGTTTAACGCAGCGTTTGTGTCGTGCTGGTCGGAGCTGCATGAGCAGCAGCAGGATGAGCTGGTCCAGAGTATTGAGGTGGCGCTGACGTCCCAGGACATCCCAGAGATCACACAGACACTCCTGAACCTGGCAGAGTTCATGGAACACAGCGACAGGGTAGGACAGACGCACAGGGACCTGACAGAAGAGATTATCATAGAACAGTGTGCTGTGGGCTATCTCTGTAACTGATAGTCTACTAATGAACTAACTTAAGGAAGGATTGTATGGAACTTAGCAGCTGATAATCTGATTATTATTGGGCTTTGCAGTACAAAAGAAGAAGAACTTCTGAAAATGTCATACTAAGTACATGTATCATTCATGGTTAATGTCAAGTGTTTGTGAATTTATGTATTTCTTCAAATCTCCAAGCTGCAAAGTTGCTATCATACAAATATTCATACAAAAATTTCCATACAGATACTTGCAAGCTAGTTATAAAAAAATATAATGCTACAAATTATATACCTTGATGCCTTGCTACCTGTTCAAATTTGTGATGCTCATAATAGCCTTTGCTTTGTTTTGCTCATCCTAGTCCCTGTTTTGTACACAATGTCATGGATGGTGTACAATCTGTGATTGCATGACTGTACAGAGTATGCATGTTTCTGTGTACAGGGCCCTCTCCCCCTGAAAGATGACAATGGAATTGTCCTGCTGGGTGGCCGTGCCACCAAGTGTCGAGCGTTTGCCAAAGCCCTGCACTACAAGGAGCTGGAGTTCCACAAGGGTCCCAGTACAGATGTCTTAGAGGCTCTCATCAGGTAAGAAATATTCACGTTTCTTAACAAGTTAATCTACATGTATGGTGATGGACTGGTTTCCCATGACATGTTTACATGTTTTTTTGTTAAAATGTTGGCTGCGCTTTAGCCACAGTTTCTGAGTTGAGTTGTTTTGTTCCTTTTTGCCTTCACGTTAAATGGAATACAACAGAGTGACCATAACTTGGTACGGCTTGTATTTCAGATCCTGACACCAAACATACAGTATCATAACATAACATAACATTAAGTTATAAACATGTTAGCCATCATTAATACTAGCTGGAATACAAGTGTTCTTATTATCATCATGGAAAGTGCATGGATTTTTTCCACACAATGATAAAAGCCCATTTCTTCCATTTTTCCCAGAATGAATTAAGAAATATGTTACATGTTTACATGTATTTCTAAATAGTGGGCATTACAAAATTTGTTGTTACGGTAGATCTACTTTCAGACATTGAAGGTAAATTTTTGTCAGTCTAAGGACTTATTACAAAAATAATATTAGTCTGATAACAGGTGGGTTAAAGAAAAGGTTAAAGGTGTTAAGAAAGAAATTATGTACAACAACAATCATACAACTCCACAAGATTTGAAGTACAAAAATGTAGGAGGTAGACTAGTGATAATTCTGCCTGAAATCTAAGCCAAATTGCAATAGGCAATTGGCATCATATAATACTACCAGTCCTACATAACCTTCAGCCTGCTAAGGGAACAGTTTGGCACTAAATTTGTCTTGGTTACTGGGTTATTCAGCAGGGAGAAGGTTAATTTTAACATAAATAAACTCCCTTCAACAAGTACATGGGTATTTGGTACTAGGTTAGATATGTTTGTAAGTTTCCTCACTTTGTTGGCACACAAATAACAAACCAACTACAAACTAAGATAAGTAAAAACTGTTACAGTGGCTTAACAAAAGAAAAGAAAAGAATATCAGCTTGCAATTTTAAAGGGCAGTAAGTAATTTTAACATTGGTCAATTTTAAAAATGTGAACGTACAGAGACTATATAAAGTAGGCATACTGTACACCTTTGTCTCGCCACTCACTACCTAGTGTTGTTAGCCAGAAAAATCTACAGGTCTTAATTTCATGACAGTTAGTCTCATGGAGTACCAAGGCCCCTCCCAAGCTGCCCAGAAAAGACCATCAGGAAAGCCAGTCTGGCTTAGATACGATCCACCAGTGTAATAACGCCCGTTGACATTTGCGGTTATGCCACAATTAGTGTACCATCCGCCACCTCCCAGCTTGCTCGCGCAGTTTTCGTACGTGTGCGTGTCCTGGTCTTTGTCCCACGTGGAGAACTTTGCTCCCTTGATGATGAAGTCACCCTCCATGTTTGAGACGCGCCGGTCGTACGATACCTGATATCCCTTTGACTCGTCTGCGACGGCGAACTCTCGGTAGTCGACATATCGGAGGTCTCCGCTCCACGCCGCTGCGGTGATACGTAAGACGTACTTCTGCTGGCTGGTTAGGTAATGCAGGTTGTCGTTGCCGAGCCAGTACTCAGTGTCCAGGTCCCCCAGGCCCTTCCTGTACTCTTCCCACGGGCGGTCAAAGCTGATGGACCCGTCCAGCCGCCGCTGGATGACAGTCCAGCCAGGGCCGTCCTGTCCCGCCATGTCACACCAAACCTGAACAGGAAATAGATACATCATTAAAACCTAAGCTTGGTAAGATATTAACTGTCATGCTAGTTAAGGACGTCTTCCCACTAAGTCCACAAAATGCTAAGGTTTGCATCATTCCAAGGAGTTGAATGTTTGTAACATGATTATGATTTAAGCTAGCAAGAAACAAAGCAAACAAGCAAGAAACCAACCAAACAAACAAACTAGTTAAGTGCTAAGGTTTGCATCATGCCAAGGAGTTGAATGTTTGTAACATGATTATAATTCAAGCAAGCAAGAAACCAAACAAACAAGCAAGGAACCAAACAAACAAGCAAGGAACCAAACAAACAAGCAAGGAACCAAACAAACAAGGAAATATACAAGCAATCAAAAGGGCATGCAAAAGATTTAGATGCTCAAGGATTTACAAGGTATCATGCATTTTAAAGAAAAATTACCAACTCTGCCATGAGTATGGAGACATATATGCATGTATGTCCACAGTTATAATATAATCTTATTTACAGCATGTTTTTACCTTAATATTTACATTCCTCAAGTACATAAAAGATAAAGTTTGACTCAGTTACCTCAAATGGACTTCCCCCATCAGGACAGATGGTGTGTATCCCACTGTTCTCCTCCCCCTGTTCATACAAGGCTGCACAGTCCCGCGGTATGCCTGGACAGGAAACAAAATAATAAAGCATTGTAAGAGTCCTCCCAATAGAAGTGAAAAGTTCACTATGTTGTCAAATTAACAGTCAGTCTTCATTAATTTGCAAATTCCAGAGAGACAAAGTGCAAAATGAAGTTGACACTTGTGAATGGAACCACTTGTTGTTCAGAACATGTGTTTTAGGGATCGTTGGTCTCAGGTGTAAGACCAACTTCAACCTTCTTGTTACAATGTATGTTTTTAAGGCACCTTTTGCTCCTTTGATATTTCTAAACTTGTACACTATGTACTTTATACAACAGGGTTCAAGCTTAAACATTTTCGAAATTATTCTTTGCTAAAAGTTTTCGTTGACATTTTCGTCCTGAATTTGCATGTTTCAAATGAAGCAGAAAGACAAATACACATGTATGAAATGCACTCACTTATTATGTATGTTGTATAATTTTATAATCATGTATATAGTAGCACTAGCTACTGTAGCAATAGCTACAGTATCATTCTGTACCTAGAGTGCTTTATCCTCTGCACTGGACTATCTAATGTGGGCAGATGGATCTTATCAATCTGTCATCACAAGCATTTGACCTTGAACTCAGCTTGAAGAAACAAGTATATACAGTTTACCCTAACAGTTCAAGACTTGTGTGAACCATCTCAGTCAGTAACTGTCTGTAAGACTCCAGTTTCAGTAACTTACCCCTCCTACAAGTCTGTGAAGATACACCTGTACCTGTTAGACTTTCCAGACTTTCTGAGTAAGACCAGGTGTATTGTATCAAGACCTTTGTGGCATCACAAGTCAGCAAACTTGGGTTATCAAAGGCAGGCCTGAGACCAAGAGGTTGTTAGGTTTAAGTGACTAGAGACATTAGTCTTCATTCTCATGCCATTTTCATAACCTTGAGGGTTGTACCTCTGCCCTAGTTTTTGTCACATTCACAGAAGTCAGACTGTTTTCTGTCCTTTACCTAGATGTAAGAGAAACCCTCAGATATCTTTCAATTGTTGATCATTTTATTCAAGGCCTGGGAGTGATGTAAAGCAGTCCAGAAAGGAGACTTTTGTACCTGGCTGCACAGATTAAAAGATTGAGACAGGTGTAAGATGTTATATTGATGTAAAGGGAATACATGTACTGGTGATTAAAATGTGGCCGATTCAACAGTATTAACAAGTACAGTAGCTTTATATCTTGTGGCTAATACAAAGGGATACAACTCCCTTTGTAAAATAGTTTGGGAAGAATTGAAATTTCAACAGGAGCATGCTACATGTATTTCCTGTTTGTTAGTTTCTTATATCTAGTTTCCCTTAAAAATTAGTGCACTAACACAAAAGAGACTGCAAGACTTACCATGAATAGGGAAAATTGTAAGTGTACTATTAAATGTACATTGTACTCACCACTGCACAAGTCAGATCCTCCTGTGACCACCACTAGAACCACAGGTTCATCTATTCCCTCTTGACTATCAAGAGAAGTGGACACATCATCTGGCTTTTCCTGTGGGATGGGGTTCTCTGGTTCAGGATATTCAGGTGGCGGCTGTTCTCTTTCAGGTTCAGGTAACTCTGGTGGAGGTATGTCTGGTTCTGGGTACTGTGGTGGAGGTACCTCTGGTTCAGGGTATTGCGGTGGTGGTACTTCTGGTTCAGGGTATTGTGGTACTTCTGGTTCTGGGTACTGTGGTGGAGGTACTTCTGGTTCAGGGTACTGTGGTGGAGGTACTTCCAGTTCAGGGTATTGTGGTACCTCTGGTTCTGGGTACTGTGGTGGAGGTACTTCTGGTTCAGGGTACTGTGGTGGTACTTCTGGTTCTGGGTATTGTGGTACTACTGGCTCTGGGTACTGTGGTGGAGGTACTTCTGGTTCTGGGTACTGTGGTGGAGGTACTTCTGGTTCAGGGTACTGTGGTGGCGGTACTTCTGGTTCAGGATATTGTGGTGGTATTTCTGGTTCTGGGTACTGTGGAGGTACTACTGTTTCTGGGTACTGTGGAGGTACTACTGGTTCTGGGTACTGTGGTGGTACTTGTGGTCCTGGATACTGTGGTGGTACTTCTGGTTCTGGATACTGTGGTGGTACTTCTGGTACTGGATACTGTGGTGGTACTACTGGTGTTGGGTACTGTGGAGGTGTTTCGGGTTCTGAGGTGTACTGTGGAGGTGAAATCTGCTGTCCAACATCGCCAGGCAGTCCTGGGACAGGGATGTAGATCCCCTCAACCGGCACGACAATGTTGCTGTCTGGATAGCGTGGATCATATCCTGTTGGAACGGTGTTCTGACCTGTTCCGACCTCAGGCTGATTTTCCTCGTATACCGTAACTCTGTTGTCATAGTCATATGGAGATGAGCCCTCTGAGGGTGAGGTTATCCTGGCATGGAACTCGTGTGTCACCTCCCGACCACCAGGCTGAACCACGTCCTGTGGTGCCTTCCGCCCATTACCAGTCGCTTCCTCAAGGAAGATCATCCTCTGCTCAAGTATGGACATCCTCTCCAGATATGGTCGTATCATCTGGTTTTCCTGCTCAAGCCGCCTTATCTTTTCCTCCTGGTACCCCAGTTTGGTCTCGTACTGGACTATTCTTGGCTCCAGTTCTCCCAGCCTCTTCTCATACTCCTCCAGTAGTTCCACCATGCTTCGATCGATGGCGCTTCCATCGGTTGTTGTAGTTATCGTCACAGGTGGTCGCCGTCGTAGCAAGTTAAAGGCTCTTGTTACATTTTCGAACCTCAGCAGAAGGTAATCCACGGAGCGTCTCATTTCCGAAACCATTTTGGTGTTGTCGTTCAGATAGCTGCTCTGGACAGACACGGTGTCCTCCAGATCAATCAGACGCCTCAGGTACTGTTCAGGGATTTCTGAGGGACCTTCCACAATATTGGCCTGTGGTCGGAACTGTGGGTAAACCATAGTCAGGTCAGCTCTGTTGATGAGCTGGTTGAATCTGTTCTGCCATTCTATGGTGCTGATGTTTTGCCTGTCCTTTATCTCCTTCAGTTCCACCTTCATCTTGAAGATTGCATCATCCTGCGCTTGGTTGGACCGAACCTGCTCAAGAATGCCATTGTAGTATTGGTTGACGAGCCTCTCTTGCTTTCCAAGGCGCTCCTGAACTGACAAAACCCTATCTCTGTATTTCCCCATGTTCTTCTCTAACTCAACTTTCATGTCCCTCAGAAGCTGTGAATACTTTTCAGAGTCCCTGAAGTCCCCTTGCTGTTCCTGCTGCGCATGCATTGCAATAGTTAAGTTTCTTGCTAATGCCTTAACCCTGTAGTCCATGACCCTCAGATCATGTTGGAAGTTTTCAATGATTTTCGCTTGTTCATTTGTCCTCTGTATTACTGAGTTGACTGCAGTTTCATACTCTCTTAGCAAGTGCTCTTGGGCTTGAAGTTGAGGCAGGATGTCAGTAATAGCTTGATATTCAGAAGCATCTGTACCAAAACCTCTCTGTTCCAAAGAACCTCCCGTCTCCTCAGATATACCTTGTTGCTGTAGCTTTAGCCGTAGTACATTCATTCGATCGTGAAGCTCACGAATGACATTTTCTCGGCTGCTAAGTAAGCCCCGCAACTCGTTGGTCTGTACCTTTAACTCCTTGTTCTTTAACTCCAATTCCCACTCGGCAAATGTCTTGTTCATTTTGCACACATAGTTCTCGTGCTGCAGCTCGCGTGTTCTCAGCTCCAGTCGCTGAAGGTGGATCAAAGGATCCACAGAGCAGTCACCGGTGCTGGAGTCACACTCTGTCAAGTTACGGAGCAAGACCAGTACGTCTGCTGCCTCCAAGGTCTGTTTTCTGTTAAGTGGGTCGTCCTGCACTTCCCCAGAGTGTGACCCTTCTTGACCTTGAACCCCGGGATCCCTCCTTGCCCTGGATAGTAGTTGCTTCCACGACGGTTGACATGTTATCTCTCCTCTCTGATGTTGCATGAGGACATTGTAAACACACTTGCCGTCTTCCGTCAGTTCTCCCCTCAGTTTCACCTCCCCTTTAGCTTTTCTCTCTCCCAAAGATGTGGAAATGATGCTGACCAGCAGCATGGTCTGGAGGAGAGTAAAAGCAGCCATACCTTTCCGGAAGATGCTGAAGTTCCAACTTTTGTCAGAAGAGTTGGTGAGGTAGTATCCAGTCATTCGCGGTGACTCCTGTAGACGTCTGGCACTCTCTCCAACTCATTCTAGTGCCAGCTGGCTCTGGATAGAAATATAGTCAGCATAATGTCAAAGGAAGTCAGCAAGTGACATCCACTAAAGCCCTAATTTAATGAGGAGGTAAACTCACACTGGAATCTGCAGGCAGATGTAAGTTCAGAACAGTCTGGGTCACCAACAGCCAATAGGAACTCGGTTGCCATGGTGAATAATCTTATAGGGACCAACTCCTGCTTCCGAGCTGCACGTGTACTTAAAGTCATCAAAGATACAGAAATTCTCAGATTCCCTGGCAAATAAAGGCCTTGTTCAAATCAGCAGTGCTTAGTGGGTGTCTGTTGCATTAGGTTTCAAACAGAAGCTCGGGTTTTGTTGCTAAAAGGTTTAGAACAACACGACCCCTGTCGGAAGTTGCCAATTCTGTTAGAAAGGTAAAGGACAACACCTTGCCTGGGTGATAATGTACCCAGCTTACCCGCGACTTCAGATTGCCATTTAATAGATGTACATTAAAAAGATACAGATGTCTGTGCTATACTTGAGGAGTGAGTTCACACAGAGGGTTGGAAAGGTATGCAGATAATGCAGGGAAATGGAAGTCAGGAGGTTCCTGTGACACCACTGACCCTGTTTGTCTGTCAGGGTTACCCTCCCCATCAGACAACACTCTCTGACATTTAACAGTCCGTGACCAAGTTCACCTACATGTACAGCCAGCAAAGTCACTTTTGCTGAGTTTCCTGCAGGGCCTTGGTTTGGTTATTAATAAGTTTTTGTTTTGTATTGATGTAAGAAATGTCATGATCAAGTTGATTCATGATGGTCACAGTTTAAACTATGCCGTAGTGTGTTTATCAAATTAAAACCACAGGACAAAATACAAATGGCACCTCCCAAAGGACATCAAAGACAAGATAAATGAGGATCACAGAAAAAAGTGCTAACATTACAGTCATGATGATCTTGGGTGTCCATACATGTACTAAGTCTGTCATCAGTATCATGATAACTGCTTTAATCCAAATTATAATAGGTAACTTAACCTAGTTTCATATGTCAAAGAGCAAGGACACTGTACTCTTTTATAGACCAAGACATACCCTCTCACTCTCTCTCAGTGTATGTACATGATGATAAAATAAATGTCTAAAAGAGTGCACAGCCTCTTTCATCCTGAATCATTTTCTGTCAACTGATAGACAATGCACATTTTTTCTGTAACTGTTGTATTATGTACAATGTATTTCTTTTGGTCTCATCTGCATGGTCTGTCCCAAACTTCTAGGATAGCAAGCATGTGGAAAAAGTTTTGGTTGAATGTATCAAATGTAAACTAGGCCATTCTTGTGCCATTTAGCTGCCAAAAGTATTAATTAAGGGGCATGCAACTTTTCAAACTACATGTAGACTGATAACATTTATAGCCTGGAGTTAGCATGACTTGCTGTGACCACTAACATTTTTTCCATCATTGGTTCTGAGGGTGTATTTTATCATATGTCTGTATTCTGTGACAGTTAAGCTGATGAGACATCTTTTGACCTCTTCAGTTGCAGGTAAAAAATGTGTATTTTGCAGCTTATACCTACAGGGCTTTTCTTAACTAACCGTCAAGCAATTGGAAGCTAAGCCTTTGCTTATTTGCTTTTCTCAAAGTATTTGAACCTTGACATTCTAAAAATATATAGCCCTTAATTGACCGTGTACCACCTGCAAAGTTTGTGGATTTCCCATCAAAGTCAATAATGGATTTCAAACCCTATGTACACGTATATCTTTCTGGGAGGATTTTATGCTGAACTGCTTTAAGAAATTTGGACTAGTTAAAAGTTGCTGCAATGTGCTTAAAGTAAAGAAATATGACAATAGATTTTTTTATCATTTAAGCACATCATCCTGCAAAATGATTGAGCATTTGATACACTCATCATGTACTAATATCGTTTAACAGTAACTATTTTCTTTCTCCTCTCTTGAAAAGAGACGAAATAGAGATTTCATGGTCTGGTTGCAGTTTTCTTCACACACTGTATCATTACTACCAATTCTTACTCACCTATATCATGTGGCAGTCAAATAAGCCTTGGTTGGGAGGGTATTCTGCTGTATCTAATACTACACGACTGTATATTGTCAATTTTGTTCCTTTCTCCATCAAGTGACAAGCTTGAATGTGTAGTAAGACCGGCGAAAAATTGTAGCTACCGGTATGTCGATCGAGGCTTACTTCAAACATTATCACTTGTATTACTAATAGATAAAGACTTAGTGCATTAAACTAATCCTCAAGACAAGCACTAGACACTGTCAGATTGAAAAGCAATCTCCTTATGTGATATCCAGTCTATTGTGATAAGATAACATCAAAATCTTTTGTGGAAGAATATTCTTATCATCATAAAGAGAAAGTAGTCTTATCTCTGACATTTGAATTAATCTTACAAATGATAGTGAAACGAATATTGCCACAGACATTCCAGTTTTCCTACCCTAGCTTCAACCAACATTGTATACAACTTCTGACTTACCTTTTCAGTGTGCCACGTCATCTGAGGCTTCTGTTATGATCCTAAAGGTTATGGTCTTCTCTACCCTAGGCTGAAATGTAACTCTCCTTGTTAGCAGCAGGACCATACATGTAGTTTATCTTCTGTCCATCAGTAGACTGTGGAGTTATGGACTTCATCATGTAAGGCTGTGTATGGGGAGTCCTGGTATCATGTTATGTAAAATCTTTCACTAAAGTGCTGGTAATCTGATGGACTCAATATGATAATATAAAAAAATGTACTCTTGATGTTTTACTACTTTAGGATATTAGATAATTATGTTAAATGAAAGATCTACTTAAAATAACATCAGATCCATATCTTCAAATTGAAACCTTTTTTGGTCCCAGCTGGTATAAGTTACCTTTTGACATACTTAACTCTAAGAATCCTAAATAGGAATAGCCTCAACTGTCAGTTGTGATAAATCTTATGTTTTTGTTATTGGTTTTGCTGACATTTTGAAGTATACCTAAATTAGTTTAACTTAATGATGGATGCCCTCTTTGACAGGATCAAACTAGAAAATTTCCACTGAACAGAAAGTAAGTCCATCCCAAATCTCTTTTGTAAGTTGAAAAGCACAATGTAACCCTATATACTGTTCTGCGGTCACTTTGCTGGGAAAGTCCTTGTTAAAGACCCAGTGTAATTGTGGTCCCTCTTTCCTCCCCATGAGATTAGTGTGGTTGACCTTGTGACTGTCTCTCTGGCTTCTATTCAAGCCAGATGCAGTCTGGCCCCAATCCATCCATACACTGTGATAGAGAAGGGTCAAGTCTCTGGGGTTCAAGGTTAACAAAATTCAATGTGAATTATATTATTCTCGTGGAAAACGGGCATTACAGACAATGCATTTACATGTACATGTATGCTGTGGTTTTAAAAGTAACTTAAAGTGTATTATATGTTCAGCAATGTTGGTATATTAGCATTTAATTTAATGATGTTAAGTTATAAGGGATGAACCAGGAAGAATCAGGGGGTGGGATGGAAATAAAGAATACATTGTACATCATTTTACACAGAATTTTCTTGAACCTCTAGCAATTTAACCCCCCAAAAAGTATCACTAAACTTACATTACAATGCATTAAGAAGGCACTAGCAGATTTGCATTTAGTTGGCCCATTAAGCAATGTGTATTACATTGTACATCATCACACACCTGTTCAATGACAAATACCTTACTCATGCAAAAGTTGTTTTTCATCTAATAACATAAAGAAACAAAGCAAAAGTGGACCATAGAAAGCAAAAGCTTACCTGGGTCAGTCGTCAGTTCTGGTGGTAAAAACTGGGACACAACAAACCAGGGACTGATTAGAGATAAGAGATAGGCCAAGAGGTGAGCTGCCAAGTATCGCTGCTATTCTGGGATAAAACTGTCAGACAGGACAGAACAGACATTCCCGGTCATGGAGGTCGGGTGATACCACAATGTGGAGTCCAGAAGGTGTGTCTTGTCAAAAGACTAGCTAGTGTCAGAATGAGGTGGAGTAGTTATTTAGTCTCAGAGGATCGTAAACTTGGAAGAAATTGTGTTTGGGGATCACAGTGTGGTTTATGAACCGAAAGAAAATGCACTGATCTTGCACATAGCTCACGGACCATATAAGTTTACGGATGACTTTGATACAAAAAAATGTGGAAGAAATCTAGGAGGTGTACAGCCTTGAACTTAAAGAGTCAACTTGGGAACTTTGCACAGGCTTGAAAAACTTCAGTGTCATGGTACATTGTAAATTGTCTAAGAATGGGTCTGAGAGGGCATGACGAAACATGAGGTTTAAGTTTAAAGAGGCTGACATGTGTGCTATAGGCTTTCCATGTTATTTCTTTGATGTTGGAAATGTTGTTACACTCTAGTACCGGTATCTTGGGCTGCACTTGAAGAAGTGATGCACAGGTTGCACTTCTGAGGTTTGCTGCTAGGGGGCATGCATGGCTTGATTCATTCAATGGATACTGTACCTGTACAAAGATACAAAGAGAAAAGGTCTCTGAATAATAGGAAGACAGAAGAATAGTTTAAATTTGAATGGTCACTTCAGTCTTCAATTTTCCATGCCTCCTTTTAAATTCTTCCTTTTAATGTATAACTTTTCCATATAGTAGCCTGATGATGATGATTAGATATATTTTTAGGGCCATGAGTTTAGGAAATGTTTCCAAGCAAGGAATACTCATAAACTACCTATTAAACTATTTTGCAAACAACCCGGTTCTTAAGTCTGTGTAACCTTTGTTCAGTAACCACAATGACAAGTGTTGTATTGCACACAGTGACATTGTACATGTAATTTGACTGTGACTGCTCCAGAGCCTCCATCAGAACAGTGCTTGTATTGCTACCACATGTCACCCCTATCACCAAGGCAAGGGTGTCAAC